ACCCTCTCCCACCCACACTCTCCCAAAGAAAATCCCTTTTTGGCTGTGTTTGGTCGCAATGCAAACGCAAATATGTACACTGCATATTTACCCTCTTTTCAGTTCATGAATGCAAACATGGTTCAGATTTTAAACCGTTTTTGCACTCATCTTGTTTGTTTGAAATCGGTGCTAAGTGTGGGCCCCATCATTAAATGCTCCAACTACCTTATGCTCCAATGCCTTAACTTTGGTTAAAAAGTTGATTATCAAAAGAATACAACATTGTATCCAAAAAATAGGTACAGTAATGCTCTCTTTTCAGAGTACAAAAATGTCAGAAAATACATTTTTGATCTGATAATCATTACATTTTTACATGTCAAACAAACGCTTGCAAACATGAATCACAGTACATAAATACCCTGGTTTGGCATTTGTATTGCAAACAAACGGAGCCTTTGTAATTTGTCACCCTCTTTGCAACTTCTACTGGCACTTTTAACATAGAAAGATAGTAAGTTGGCAAGCTTGACTACAAACTTCTTATGAGAGTGATTCTCCCTCCCAAAGATAGATACCTTGCTTTCTATCCATCCAATCTTTTTTCAATCCTTTCAATGACTGGTTTCCATATAATAGAGGAAAGGATTCCACCAGCATACCCAGATAGGAAAAAGGTAGCTCCCCAATTCTGCACACAAAAGCAACTCCAATCGGCATACTCTTTGAGAGATTCACTTTCAGACCTTTCAGAGGCTCAAAGTTAACTAAAACAGCTCTTAAATTCAGGGGTTGCTTCACTGAGGCGTCCAAGAAAATAAGGGTGTTGCCTGCATATTGAAGATGTCAAATGCGAGGACATCCTGTCCCAGTTGAGAAACCTTCTATCAAACCCGGCTGAACGCTTTTAGTCCATAGTAGATTTAATACTTGCATTACTAATACAAATAGAAGGGGAGAGATTGGATCTCCTTGCCTTAATCCCTTATGGGCTCTGAAAATTTCTGAGAAAACCCCATTCAAAAGGATAGAAAAAGAAACCGAAGACAGACATGCAAACACCCAATTCCTCTACTTCTCCCCAAAGCCCATTAGCTTCTGAGTCTCCTTCAGAAAACCCCACTCCACATGATCATACGCCTTCTCTATGTCAATAATCTTGCTTGCCACCTGCACCCCATCTAAAATCTGTCTCCCTTCCACAAATGCCATTTGGGAAGGCAATTGTAAGATGTGTATTGCAATATGCTTTGGATACACATGGATATGATGGAATGATCAGGATAGACATGAATATATTAGGGAAACTCATATGAATCCCATAAATGCATCTAAAACACTAAATTTAAGGCTCAAATACCTATAAATAAGGTATAAACACATCAGAAAAACACATTTTAATTGTTTATGTGAAGCACAAAATACCAGGATACAAATAGGAAATGTTGGAAAATGGAAGAATTAATATACGCATGTGTACCTCAGGAAATCAATATAAATTTTAATAATATTAAGGGGACATTCGCCAATATGTATGTTTTTGTTTTTCAAAACAAAAGCAATTTTGGTTATTGCACCTATGCCATGTGTCAGTCACATTGCCACCATTGTGTTCTTCTTCTTTTCTCTTTGTTTTTATTTTAATTTACTTTTAATTGTTATCAATCAAAACAAATAGTGAAAAGATAAAAATAGAGTTAAGCAGTATCTTGGTTGATATTGTACATTTCTTTCTTTTTTTTCTTTTAGAATACCTGACCTAACTAAATAAAACATTTAAAAAATCTTAAATATACAATATTATCACCATTGAAGATGCATGCCAACTCTACAGAAAAATCAAAAGGATAAACTGCATTATTAACTGATATGCAGAACGAAGCAAGAGAATAAGTTACTCCATTGGCCCCTGTCCAAGTATGTAAGATTTCCTTCGGAGGGAATAGCAATAGAGAATTTGCAATAGATAACAGAATTCATCTATCTATTCTTTGCTAAATCCCATACTTCTTGATGTAGGATACAACAAGAGCTGCATCTTTAGCCAGTATTTCTAAAATATTTAGCCTACGGGAAAAAGGAGAACCTCCTCAATGGAAAACAGCTTATAATGAACTCCCCATGGAAAGTCTATTTTAGATGCAGAGCTCATGATTGGGACCAATCATAATATCTAACCATACAGTAGTAATAAGACATAGGAAGCCAGAGTTTATTAACATAGGAAGCTGTTGGATAGCCAAAAGTAGATTGATTCCGGTGGGTAAAGTGGAGAATCTTGAAGAGCTCACAGAGATTTTACCTGGTCAGATTGGATACTTGCCTATCTCCTATCTTGGCCTTCCTCTTGGAGCTAAATGCACCTCTGCGGTGATGTGGGATCCAGTGGTTGAGAGAGTGGATTGACCAATCCCAGAGTTGATTGGGACCAATCATGATTGCGTTCGTACCAGGTAGGCAGCTGTTGGATAGTGTGTCGGTGGCAAATGAGTTGATTGACTCAAGAATAAGAGAAGGTAAACCAGGGCTGATTTGTAAGCTGGATTTGGAAAAGGCATATGATCATGTAAACTGGAAGTGTTTGGATTTGGTGCTAGAGAAAATGAAGTTCGGACAGAAGTGGAGAAATTGGATTAAGGTGTGTATTTCCTCTCCAAAATTCTCAGTTTTGCTTAATGGGCAATCCATGGGATTCTTTAAAAGTTCAAGAGGATTAAGACAAGGGGATCCCCTCTCCCCTCTTCTGTTTATATACATAATGGAAGTTCTAACTCTATTTGTGCAGACAGTGGGGGTCAAGGGTCTATGGAAGGGTTTTGATGTCTCTCCGGGTGGGGAAAGTGTTCAGATGCTACAGTTCGCCGATGATACTCTGTGTTTCATTGATGCAGATGTTGATCAGCTGAAGATTCTCTTGGGGGTGCTTAGTTGGTTTGAAGTGGTTTCGGGACTGAGAGTAAATTGGACCAAAATTAGATTGATTCCAGTGGGTAAAGTGGAGAATCTTGAAGAGCTCACGGAGATTTTACCTGGTCAGATTAGATACTTGCCTATCTCCTATCTTGGCCTTCCTCTTGGAGCTAAATGCACCTCTGCGGTGGTGTGGGATCCAGTGGTTGAGAGAGTGGAGAGTAAGCTTATGTCTTGGAAATCCAAGTACCAGTCGCTGGGGAGCAGAATCACATTACTAAAAAGCTTGCTTTCTAATCCTCCGGCCTACTTTCTATCTCTTTCCCAATTCCAGTCAAAGTTGCCCAAAGAATTGAGAAAATCCAAAGAGATTTTCTTTGGAGGGGCTGGGAGGAGGACAAGAAATGTCATCTGGTTAACTGGGACCAGGTATGTTGCCCTAAGGAGAAAGGGGGGCTGGGGATCAGGAAGCTTAAGTTGCTTAATAAAGCTCTCTTGGGAAAATGGATTTGGAGATTTGAGAAAGAAAAAGACAGATGGTGGAGGAAATTAATTGCAGAAAAATATGAGACTGACAGTGGGAACTGGGTAACCACTAATCAATTGAATTCTTTAGGTTGCTCACTGTGAAAAAAAAGTCATGGAAGTTCCACCTTGGATGAGTAGTGGTCTAACTCCAAAAGTGGGGAATGGGAATAGGTTGCATTTCTGGAGGGATACTTGATGTGAAAGTACACCCCTGGCTGAAGTATTCCTTCAATTGTTTCAGATTGTGGAAAATCAGAATGGATTGGTAGCTAGTCAATTTGAAGTGAGTGGGGGCACTATTATTTGGAGTCCTTTTAGAAGGTCATTTCAGGGCTGTGAAATTGGGAAAGTTGCAGATCTCTTGGGGCTGCTTCACAGGCAGTCCATTGACTTGTCGTCTGAGGACTCTTGGATCTGGAAGTTTAGTGTGGATGGTAATTCCTCGGTTAGCTCTTCTGCGGAGGTGCTAAATGAAGCTGTGCATCCTAAAATTCCAGTGGTGAAAATTTGGAACCATTCTATGCCTTCTAAAGTGAATGCTTTGGTTTGGGCTGCATCTCTCAACAGATGCCTTACGAAAGACTCCCTGGTTAGAACGGGTGTTCAGATTCAGGACCAGCTGCGTGTTCTTTGTGGAGATATGGAGGAGGATGGCAGGCACCTATTCATTCACTGTTCGGTTACAGCTGCAATATGGAATCACTTTTTATGCTGCAATGGTGTATGCCTGATTCAGTTCTGGACATGATATGGAGTTGGGAACTGAAGGGTGGTTCAAAATTGGCGAAGTGCATTTGGAGTGTCATGCCTGCAGCCATCTTATGCACAGTCTGGACGGAAAGAAACAGAAGGATCTTTCAAAATAAGGCCGCTAGAATAGATTGCTCGATTGCCTTTGCATTTGGAAAGATAGTTTCCTGGGTGGCGGCGGCGAAGGAAATTCAGGCTTCTGTCCTTTGTTCTCAGCTGAGATCTAGGATTTTTCTTGAGTTATGATGTATTGTAGGTGTTAAAGTGAGTTTTGTTGGCTCTTTGTCTTAGGGGCCTGGGTTGTAATCTGCCACCTTTGGCTATTTGAATAAAATTTTGCATTATCTTTTTCAAAAAAAAAAAAAAAAAAAGACATAGTAAGCCAGAAGCAGGATCTGGTGAGGAATTGAAGAGCCCAGAGTAGTAAGAAAGCTTAAGTCTGATATAGTTCTCCTGAATGACAGAAGGCAGTACGAAGTTGGACCATTTCATTTATAGTTAGAACTGTATCTGCCTTCTGCTTTGTTTCTGTGACCCTGAAGATGGGCTCACTACGAAGAAACCAGTGATCAACTAGACAACTATATTGATCAGCATGTCAAAGGTCATTTGTAATAGGGTAATTAAAAAGAGGCTTCTGTTGCAAACTCCGGTTACGCTTGAGACAATCGAAGGAAGCAACTATGATCTAATTCACATGTTTCACCCAGTTGGAGTCAAGATTTAAAGTAGGAAGTTTCCAGGTGTTTTAGAGCGTTCCACTATGAAATATCCATAAAAGAAGGAAAAGTAAATCTATAAATAAGAGAGGAGGTTAGATAGAAGAGTACAGGCTTTATTTCAAAGTCGATGCTGGTGGCAGTTGAAGAAGCTCGAATTGTCGCCGCGAAAGGAATCCGGACAGTTGTTTTTACCGGTTTGAGAAAACAATGTCTTGAATCACCGATCTGTCTCGGAAGAAAAACGGTTGAGACTCTGCTGATAATTGCCTCCATCTCTCTCTCTCTCTCTCTCGTTTTGTGTTTGGTTCTGTTTATCTATGTATTATACTTATGTATCTGCGTGTCAGTTTTAAATTCAAGCTATTCTCCGGCCATGAAATTCCATCTTCGGTCTTGAGCAGAAAAGAAAAAAGAAATTCCGTATGCGGCGATAGTTGCAGCCACGTGTGGATTCCAATCCGACGGTTTGAAATATAAATGGCCCAGTAAAGGACCTCATATGCTTTAAAAACCAGATCGCTCCTCTGCCGGGAAACAATTTTCAAGTGTTACATGGCCGAAGTGGCCACTCTCGCAAATACCGTTGTCAAGAAGACTAGAAGCAATCCCTCCTTGACATGGCAATTCTTCAAGTACCATCTTTCCTCTCCTGCCACTTTCAAATCCTGTCTTCAGTCCATTTCCGCCATTGCGCAAACTCTTGTTCGCGCCAAAATGCTACCTGAAATCGACCAACTCCACCAACTCCTCCTCCTTCAGCCCCCTGAAACTTCCCGCCTCTCTCTTACTACTCTCGCTCAAATCTCAGCGAAATTGGGGCTACTCGATAAGGCCCTCTCTCAGTTTCAATCTCTTCGAAGTCAATTCCCCACTGAACCTCCTCCTGTTCGTCTATACAATGTGCTTCTTGAGTCCTCCCTTCGAGACAATCGGCTAGAACTTGTTTCTGAGCTATACAAAGACATGCTTATTGCCGGAGTTTCACCAGAGACTTATACCTTTAATATCTTGATATCTGCTCTTTGTGATTCAGGTCGTTTGGAAGATGCCCAAAAATTGTTTGACAAAATGCATGAGAAGGGGTGCAAGCCGAACGGGTTCAGCTTTGGGATTTTGATTCATGGGTATTGCAGAGCTGGCATTAGTTCTCGGGGCCTGGAGCTTTTGGATGAGATGAGGAGAGTTGGATGTTCTGCTAACACAGTAATTTACAACACTTTGATCTCTAGTTTCTGCAAGGAGGGCAGGATTGAAGAAGCTGAGAGATTGGTTGAGAGGATGAGAGCAGATGGGCTCTTTCCCAATGTTGTTACCTTCAATGCCAGGATTTCAGCTCTTTGTGGTTTAGGGAAGATCCTAGAAGCTTCTAAAATTTTTAGAGATATGCAGGATGATGAATTGGGGTTGCCTAAGCCTAACCATATCACATGCAACATAATGCTAAGAGGCTTTTTCCAGGGAGGGATGTTGGATAAGGCTGACCTTTTGATCGAGTCTATGAATAAAGATGGTTTTATGAAGTTGGAGAGTTATAATATATGGTTGATGGGTTTGGTGACGAATGGTAAGCTACTGAGGGCACGATTGGTGCTTACGGAGATGGTTGACAAGGGCATAACTCCAAATATTTACTCATACAACATATTGATTGATGGGTTGTGCAAGAGTGGGATGATCTTGGATGCAAGAATGGTGTTGGGTTTGATGATTAGTAATGGTATTTCACCAGATACTGTAACATATAGTATCTTGCTCCATGGATATTGCAGTAAAGGGAAGGTTTTAGATGCCAATAAAATTCTCCATGAAATGATGAGGAATGGGTGTTATCCAAACACTTTTACTTGCAATATTTTGTTGCAAAGTCTATGGAAAGAAGGGAAAACCTCCGAAGCTGAGAAATTGTTACAGAAGATGAATGAGAGAGGGTATGTTTTAGATATCGTGACCTGTAATATAGTAATTGATGGTCTCTGCAGAAGTGGGATGTTGGATAAGGCCATTGAGATTGTGGATGAGATGTGGGTTCATGGAAGTGCTGCCCTTGGCGTACTTGGAAACTCATTTATTGGGCTAGTAGATAATAATAATAATAAAAGGAAGAAATGCTTGCCTGATTTGATCACATACTCAACTATAATTGATGGGCTATGCAAGGCTGGAAGGATGCATGAAGCTAAAAATAAGTTCATCGAGATGGTGGGGAAAAAGGTGGAGCCTGATTCAATTATTTATGATACCTTTATACATGGTTTCTGTAAACATGGAAAACTCTCATCAGCATTCCGGGTTCTGAGAGACATGGAGAAAAAGGGTTGCAAGAAGAGTACTCGAACATACAACCCATTGATCTGGGCTCTGGGTAGTAAACATCAAGTAGATGAAATGTATAAATTGATGAACGAGATGAGAGAAAGTGGGGTTTCTCCTGATGTCTTCACCTATAATAGTATTATTAGTTCTCTCTGTGAAGTAGGGAGGACACAAGATGCTACATCTCTCTTAGATGAAATGTTGCAGAAGAGTATATTTCCTAATGTTTCTTCTTTCAAGTTGTTAATCAAAGCCTTCTGCAAGGCTTGTGATTTTGGAGCAGCACAGGAGGTTTTTGAATTTTCTGTAAGTATATTTGGCCACAAGGAAGCACTATATGACATAATGTTCAATGAGTTACTTGTTAGAGAGAAAGTTTCAGAAGCTAAGGAACTACTTGAAGCTGCAATAGATAGAGGTTTTGATTTGGGGGGATTTTCCTATACATCTCTAGTTGAAAGGCTATGCAAAGAAGAAAAGTTAGAAGGAGCTCATGATATCCTTAGTAGGATGATTGACAAGGGATATCAGTTTAATCCTGCATCATTTATGCCAGTAATTGATGAGTTAGGTAAAAGGGGAAAGAAACATGAGGCTGATGAACTTGCAGAGAAGATGATGGAAATGGCTTCAGAAGGAAGAGTCACAAATAAGCCTTATCACAAGCGATGTTACAAGAAAAAATTGAAACATAGTGAATTAGAAAAAGTGTGTGGTGAAAGTGATTGGAAGAATCTATTGCACAGGTATTCTATTCTTTTCAATCTTTGTTTATTTATTTGGTCTAACATCTCTTTATGTTTACCCGCCAAACTCCGTTGTTTTAGATGCTTTTCTTTCATACCTCGTTATTCATTTTTGTAGCTCCTTTGTGAAAAGATGAAATGTACCTTATTTACAATAACAAAATTTAGTACAGGGGGTTAAGTGCTTCTAGGCATTTAACCAGTCATGTTTCCCCTTAAAAAAATGGTGTGCCCAGATCACTGCCTTTTTTATTTTTGAGAAAGAAAAGTTTCACCATTTCCTTTAAAATTACAGCATGCACAATGCACATTATTTTTAGCACATGAGCCTCTAGAAATTGATGGGATGGGAATGGGGACATAGCTATAGACAAATATTCAATCTATAAAATAATTAAAACTTATAAGCAAAGAGTAAATAAATAAAGGGTTCGACTATGATGCTGGAAAGACATGATACCGGAATAACTTATAATCAATCAAGTGGCATCATCATAGTGCTAACCAATCAGGTGGGTTTTCATCAAAATTCACAGGAGGTTTTGATTGGTTTCATGTCTTTCTGGCATCATAGATTTTTCAAAATGGAGGAAACTTTGCCTTATTGAGGAAGGCAAAGAGGGAAGCTGATGGAAGAAAATGAGAAGAATGCTTACCTTTCTAGTCTAGAATCTTGTATATACTATGTATCCTAATCCTACATGGAAATTTTTGAGGAAGAAGAAGAATGAATAAAATCTTCAATCAATATGAGGACGGGGACATAGGCATATATAAATATTCAATCCATAAACTATTTAAAAATTAAAAGCAAGGAGTTAGTAAATAAAGAAAATTTTGAAATGAACCTTCGCCTTATTGTTGAAGGAAAGGAGAGAAGCTGGTGGAAGCAAATGAGAAGCATGTCTTGCCTTTTTATTATACAAACTTGGACATACTATGTATCCTATAAGTAAACTTTTGAGGAAAAAAAGGAAAAAAGAATGAAATCAGGGAATGGGAGCAAGAAAAAAATAAAAAACAATTAACAAAACCTCTATGCATGTGTGTCATATATTTGTTTATTTTATTGTTATGTTCCAGCATGTATGATGCAAATGCTTGGCACATGTTAAAACGCAAAATTCAAAGTCTTAGAATCTTAGCAAGTACTTTGACACCTTGTAGCATCTGTGCTAATTTGTTTTCAGTAACGTAAATTTGGAGTGAAGATGCCAACTATAACAGTTAGTAATATGTGGGACTTATTACCATAGACCTGGGATGTAGTCTCCCTTACACCTTTCCCATGCTTGCCACATATATCTGTCTCTACTTGAAGTCTGCCTTAACCACCCTCTTGCCTTTTGGGGGGAAAAAGCCTTGGAGCATCATCAGCATGATGTGAGGATGTCATACAAGATGCCAGATGTTAGTACAGGATCCAACTATCCATGTTTTGTGTCAGGTACCTATTGTTATGCCAGTATTACCTAGTGCTGTGAATAAACTGGAAATTTGGCTCCCACCCTTTTCACCTACCAAGTGGATGGTTATGATGTTTGTTAAGCATTCGTTATATGTTATCTATTGGATAATTTGATTCTGTATGGTACAATTAGGATGTCTGTTCTACTTTCTTATCTAATGACCCTTTCATTTGCAGAGATGATGGGAGCAGAATAGCAATAAAAGTTCTTAAACGGGTGCAAAAAGGCTGGGGTCAAGGCAGTATATTAAGTGTGCAACCCCAAAAAAGTGATTTTCTTGACTACTGGGAAGGCACTGGGTAGTTTTCTGTTTTGTGGGGTAAATGCCAATGTTTAGATTATAGAAAGGAACTAGCAGGAGACAAAGAATGAGACCATGGGAAGAATGGAAGACTAATAATTTGCTTTGTTCATAACTTGCATTAACATGCCAGTGACAAATGGCTGGCTAATGACTGACTGCACTCATCAATCTCTGATTTGAAGCTGAACTGGTGAAGGCATCTCTTGTCTGCCATCATCTTTTTCAAATACTCGTGACTGGTTTTTCTGATCATTTGACCTGAGGCAGGGTTTTCTTGCATTGTTATTCATGGAAATTGCTCTGTCATTGGACCCTATGTCAGTGCAGCATGAAGGTATGTCACTATGTCCAAGCTACTAAGGCTTACATTTTTCCATCATTACCTGACTCTTTTTATGGTAAGTTCTGCTCAATTGTATGTATTTATGTACTCTGTGTTTTATCTTAATGGGGTTCTCAATGTTTTTCAGCCAAGTTGGAGGTCATCATCTTGCTCATCCGGAGAAAGGATGTGAATCAATAGGGTAACATTTGACTTGACATCTTTCTTCTTAAGAAATTTCAGTTCTCCCCTCTAAGCAAAACCTTGAGAAACAAAAAACCAAAACATTATGCATAAAACACATCAAACCTAGATAGCCATTGGATATAGGACATCCAAAACTATAGTCTCTGGGTGCCTACTACATCTGGAGAAAGGATGTGAATCAATAGGGTAATGTTTGACTCGACATCTTTCTTCTTAAGAAATTTCAATTCTCCCTCCAAGCAAAACCTTAAGAAACAAAAGACCAAAACAATATGCATAAAACACATCAAACCTAGATAGCCATTGGATATAGGACATCCAAAACTATAGTCTCTGGATGCCTACTACATTAGTGAAGTTTATACAATCAAAATACCACTGCAAAGTTAAAACATGTTTCAAGAAGAGCGGAATGACTTGCCACAAGAGGGAGTTTTTTTGATCCAATGAAGTTTGAGCAACCTCTTCCACTACTAGTTTAATGTTCAGCCTGACCACCCACCTAAGGCCATATTAACAACCCAGAGTTATGCCTCCTCAACACTGCTGGTATTTGATAATTGATCATTTGTCCCTCCACTGAATTTGAAGAAAAATTACCACTCCTGGGGTAATTTCCAATTGAAACATCACTGATAGGGTAGGAAGGGTGCATCAAAATTCAATTTGCTGAAGCTCTGTTGGGATGGCTTCCATATCAGTGGTCTGTCCAAAGTTGTACTTGCTGATTCGGGCTGCATGGGAATTATTTTGCCCTGGTAGTCTTCTTGGTGTCTTTGTCAAGGGAAGTCCATAACCTACCAACAACTTGATTAGGCTATGCTTCATTTTATAATGCCGCTTTGATAGACCAGGTTAATAAGCTTGGAAATGGCCCAGTATAGGAGTCCACCCAGAACATGCCAATCTGTATATACGGAGTTTTATACAACTAAACACTCTGTTCCATTGGTGCACAGTTTTCCGTCTGTTGTGAGCTGTTTTCTACTGTATGGATCGCTCGGAGTTCTAAAGCAGCAGAGACTGAGAAGTGAAGAACGTGATTTGGATAATCCCTTGGATTCAGTTTGGACTGCCATCTCAGCTGTCATGATCAAGTACCATAGAATCAGCACCTGAAGATTGTATATTTGTATTTATAATTTTGTCCAAAGAGAAAAACGTAGCAACTTGGTTAATTGCAGAAATATCAAAAGTTTTTACATGGAAAATTATCTAGTCAAATGGGATTTTTGTTTATTACATTGCAGAATTAAGTCAATTTATCTCATCAAACTGAATTAAGTGCATTAGGAAGGTAGCCTTTCAGAATTCATGCTCCTGATGTTGGCAAGTCTGGCGGTATGGGGAGGATGATGCAATTGTTGGTGATAACCTATTGGGTCAAGGCCTGGTTATGGTATTCCCAGACGGCCAGACGTGGATCCTTTTTATATCTCTGCATTCTGAGTTTTGCCAGGTCCCTTTTCGTGTTTAGATATGGTATGTGGTTCTTGACCCAACCAATTAAGCTTTTACGATAAAATCGGATAGTTGGAATTTGACAATTTCTTACAGAAAAACACTAAAACCTAAAATGTTTTTAAAGATTTACACGATTTACTTTTATATGCATACACCATGGTTTCCAAGCTATCGTTGACTCAGATGGTTGGACCATTTGGCTCAGAAACCATTCAGGCAACCGGTTCCGTTTCAACCTCAACCTGTTCTTTGGCCAAAAACCGTAGATTTGGTCAGTGACCTGCTGACCCAGGCAGTCAAACAACAGTTTTTGGCTATTTTTATTTTAATTATGTTTTACATTTTTAAGTTTTTAAATTGGACTGGGCCATTCATTTGAATCAGATGGTCGAACTGCTGATCCGGAAACCGGTGGCCAAAGGGGCTTTCGTTCCGGGTTGGTGTTTAAAAACATTGGCAAAGCATGCCAACCGGTTCAAGAGTTGGGCCCAATTCTTAATGGGTTTTAACGCAATACCAGAATGACAAGTACGGTCCAAGATTCTGAGGGAGAAGGGCAACAGGGGCTGAGATTATCAAATGAATGTCTTGGATTTAAAATTCCTAAGCTGAGCTCACGGTCCCCCTTTAATGCTTTTGGGTAAGAACGCTAGCATGGTGATGGTGCCCTTGCAAAGCATTACAAAATACATTACACAATTACACTTGTAAATCCAAGTTTAGATCTCATCTGAAGAGCTTTTCCCTTTGTTTAATCACAATTCCCAAATCAATCAGACCTTATTTATTTTCCCTAGTCAAACAGAAAACTCCACCCATTGGATTCTAAGACTTCCCAATATATAATCTAGGACAAGATGTGCTGGGGCTGGGATCAAAGCCAGAGCTAGCTCCAGAGGATGAGATTCTCAAGATTTTGAGGCCCTCCATGTGCCTAGCTGGTTGTACGAATACAGAGGCCTCTGCGGAGTTTTGTTGAACTAAGCCCCACTGCATCATGTAGAACAGAATAGATTATTAAGTAGTTGATTTTGTAGTGGGTCTAATCCCAAGCCTTACTATAAATTAATTAATTAGAGAAAAAAAAATAAGCATTAATTAGGCCATTGTCCTCAGATATTATATGATAACCCAAAGAACCTTGTCAGGGCTTCGGTCTCTACCCCACCCCAATGATGTCCTATCAAGTATCAACTAGAAAGTATACCCATTTTTGTCCCTTCTCCAACTCATTTTCTTTGATTCTTCATTGGATACTGATATAGGCTATGGAATCTGAAGCCTGAAGCCTATAAAAAGAGAGGAATCCTGCCCCTACTCCCCAGTAGCAACACCCTAGAGATCATCACTTACATGTCATGAAACAAAACAAAAACACAACACCAACCCCTTTTATTTACCACTTGCTACACATGAACATGCTTGGTTGCAAGAATAAGGGATTGGTTATTGTAGTTTGCGGTTTATTTCACCTAAAAGGTTTAGGAGTGCTTAAAAATAAGTGTTTATTTAGGTTATTAAGCACTTATTGATATTTGGGATATAAGCCCGAAACAAGCGCTTATTTTAAAAATAAAGGCTTATTTTTTAAGTTTAAATTTCCAATTTTCTTTAAGTGCTTATACAATAAGCATTTATTCAATTTTTTCTTTCAAAATTATCCCTAATTAAATTTTAAAATACCACTTATAAAATTATGCCTAGTTGAATTAAGTACTTTCATAAAAATGCTTTCATAGAAGTACTTTTGTTCATAAAAGTGCTTTCATATAAGTGCTTTTATAAAAGTTCTTTCATATAAGTGTTTTCATAAAAGTACTGTTATAAAATTGTTTTCATAAAAGTATTTTCATAAGGGTATATTTTAAAATTTTAAAAGAAAATGGAGGACAATAGTCACAAATGCTTATTTAAGTACTTATTGGAGAAAAAGACTACCAAACGTGCCAAATACAAATAAATGCTTATTCAAATAAGTACTTGTTTTTAAGCACTTATTCAATAACTACTTATTTTTAAACACTTATTCACTAACTACTTATTTTTAACTTAAACACCGCCAAACATAGCCTTAGTTCGAGTAAGAATTCAGTTGAGTGGACAAAAGGATCAGAATTGCCGTTTGTGGACAGAGCACTACTATACCCTTAGATTGCGTGTTCTCCACATATGCCAGACTCTTAGATTGTTCAGCACATAATATAAAAACCATCAAAAAATCTGGCCCAGAAAATGAGTTCCGGTTTTCTCTCTCGATGGCTCAAGGGCCAATTTTGGGTAAAATGAAAAACCCCTCCACAACCATGAATTAAATATCAGCTTTGATGAATCTAGAGACAAGAATGGTAGGGCCAAAGAGGTTTATTGGAAGAAATCAGTAGGGAAATGTTAAGCAAGTGAAGTGAAAAGCACTCACCTCTATTGACAAACAAACCAGGCTGCACTGCAGATTGGATATTAAAAAGAAAAAGCCAAATCTATCCATGCTGCTTGTACTCTGGGTCTGGGTAAATTTTGTCCCCATTAGTTTTTTTTTTCAAGGCAATATCCCCATTAGATATTACATGTAAAATCCTGTGAGACGAGACAGAAGTTGCATGGACAGATCGGTTTTCATTTTTGAATTTGGATGATATCAGTTTGGCTATCGGTCCATTTATAACCATTCAGAAACTGTTCATAAATTATAAATAATTTTGTCTTAGAGATACTGTCAAATACAAATGCACATACATATTTATTAATAAAACAAAAATACGCCTATATTAATTTGTAATTTGGGCTTAAGATAAATGTGTTCTAGCCTTCAGAGTTTTGTTGAGCACCGACAGAGAAGAACCATTATTTATCATTTCCCATGCAACTAACAAAAAGCAAAAAGACACCAAGGTAGATGATGGTTCTTTTATCTTCTGGGGTTGATTTGGCCATGTTCCATTTTATATAAATAAATTCCTGCAAACAGACACCATGTCATCCCGGTGAGAATAACAAAAAGAACATTAACTAATAAAAACAAAATTAATTTGCCAGGGGAATTCTAGTAATTTTATTAATTATGAATAGTTTAGTACGGCTACGTCTGGTGGTAAAAGTGCAAATGCTGAATTGAAGTGGATTCTTAAATAAGGTTTTTAAAATCGAATCAGACAATGAATCATTTAGGGTCCGTTCCTGGTTTGAACGGTTCAACCGTTTGAATCAAATGGATAGTCTATTTTGACAAAAGAAATAAAAAATAAAACAGCCAAAAACCACTAGACAGTTTGAACGATTTATTAACTAAATCAATGATTTTTTACCAAAATGGCAATTCTAAGGTAAAATGGAACCGATCAAGTGATCAATCCCCGGTTTTTCTGGTCCGATCTGATTTTGAAAAAGAACCATACTCTTAAAAAATGCAGCCTTAATGGCCTGTAGATGCAGGTGCTCAAAATTTTCTACTAAAATAGAAAACATGCGTGAATATTCATCTTAATTTAGTGGAGAGATAAAGCGGGTCTCTATTTATAGCTAGAGATTAGAGGAAATTATATCCCGTTTTTTTCAGTATTTATGATCGAAAAGAGAAATTTGCTCTCTCATTGCTCCCGTTCCATTTTGGTGATGTTGTACTTATTCCAGTATATTTTTAACTAATATTTCTTCTGTCACTATCCTCCCTCAGTTACAACTTACAAGGGATCACAATCTATAATTTTGTATTAACAATTTGTTCTCAGTCTATGTTCATGTCAAAGTCAAACAGAAACAGCGACCTAAATTTCAATTATTGATATTTTCATGGGAAAATATCTTAAAGTATTCCTAAGCTTTAGGATATTGATTTACTCTACTCCTATGATTCAGCTTCGAAGGATTATAAATAAAAATATGTAGAGTGTAAAACTTTACATTTTGTATTATTTTTTTTGTATTTGTATTTGTATTCCTTCCAAACTGATCCTATTGTTTAAAAATTGTCTTAAAGTATTTCTACATTTTATGACAATTGACTAAATCCTCTCCTGTCATTAGCATCCATTAGGGTTCATCACAATTCATCCACATGTGACACTATGTATAAAATTTTTTAAATCCCAATATTACTCTTTTGTAATTGATTTTGAGTTCCAATATTACTGTTAAAAACCTGGAATGCCATTAATAGATCATTCCAAAGCTTGGTTTTAGCATTTGTTGACGCCATCAATCTATTTTCTGTGATTTTTTAGCATTTATGGACTTTGTTTACAAGTTTGAATTGTATTTCTAATTTCAAATGCCATGTTTATCACTTAGCATTGCTGACAATAAAAGTGAATAGTAAAAGTGGAAGAAATGATCATCGGGACTGTGGAGCAGGAGGTTTGGTGCATGCATTTCCATTAACAATAAGTTTATTCAAATGTTTCATTTTGAAATTTTAAAGAAAAATGATGGGAAAAATAATCTTTCCCATCTTTTCCATTAACGAGTGCTAACGACAGGGAAGGGTTTAGTCAATTGTTAGAAAATTTGTGGATATTTTAAGGCAATTTTTAAACAACATGATATAGTACGGGATTCGAACCAATCGAGTAAACATTTACAAAGTTGGATTTTGAAGACCTATCTTAGTACGTATAAGGGGAGGATGATGCAGTACAGAAGGAAGCTAATAAGTTCTATGCAAGTTGGGACCACTACATGACACATAAGAAGCAGAGATGATGTCGCCCACCCAACTTAGTAAATATTTGTCGAAATAGCATCATCAC